GAGCGGCGCAGAGCTCGGTCTCCTCAGCCTGGTGGCCTTGGACCCAAACCAACCTCCATCCATGTCATCCCCGAATCTGAACGTTGCCCGTGGTTTTTCTTTGCGAGATCATCTGATGCATCCACCCCGTGCGATCCCAATTGGGATGTCCTGATTGAAGGCGAGGCAAAGGATCTCCTCTGGAGCTCTCCTTGAGTCCTCCGCCATGTCGGTGCCTGACGCCACCCGCGTGAGAGACGCCAACTCTCTGCTCCGCATCCACGGCAGCCGCGCGGTGGACGCCGGCGAAAACATGCCCCGAAGTCGATGACAGAGAACCATGAACAATGGAAAGATGAGGAACGAGACACATTCCCATGTTTGGTCTACCCAAGTTGGAAAAATGACAGATGTGACTCTGTGACCGTCTTTCTTTTGGGGGTCAGCGTCCGACCAAGATCTCGGGTTGAATTGGAAGCTCTTGGGGCTGGTCATAGTCAGCTCCTTTTTCTTTTACGAACCAAGGTCTCCAGACCAAAACCATCGGTGTTCCTCCCATCCACACATGGATGGGCCCGGGCACCAAACCGAAAATACCCAGACCGCCATCTGGCGCCCAAGACGAAGGAGATTTCCGAACCCCGAAGTCACCAGCATCCTGCGATGTTGACCTCGATTCCGGGCGAGTCGGGCATGTTCGGGGAGGGCCCGGGACGGACTCTTTGCTCCCTTTGCTAAGAAGAAAAGCATGCAACATGGCATGGTCATCCTTGATGCAACACGTGAGACCTCTTGATCTCGCAACAAACCGGGGGAAGGGAGGATCGTTCCTCCGCTTTTTTCCAGGTCGGCGCTTCTCCACTCGCACCTCGTTTGGGACGGGTTGGACCTCGGCGAACCCGCGCGCCGAGGTCAGGCGATCAGCATGACCGGTGGTCCGGAACGCAAAGGACCACCCACTCGTCTCATGGAATCTCATGGCATTTTCAAGACTTGACCAAAAGGGTGCAGGTGATGCTTTTTCCCACAAAACAGCCCGAAGGAGGGGCAACATGGGCAACTCACATGATTGGGTTATGTTTGAGCTGATTGAACCCATGAAGCAGGCTGCAAACATGTGCAACCCAAACACCCACCCAAACACCACTGTTTCTATTTTGGTGCTCCCTTTCCGCTCCAAACACATATCCAAACACCGCACCCACCCCGCCCAATGCACCAAGCTGCCCTGGGCCGTGTTCAGTGCCTAAATCCGTCCATTGAGCCAAGCCGGCGCGGCGCGGTGCGGCGCCGCGCGGTCGGGTCGGGCGTGGGACCAACATCCGCAGCACCGGTGGAACGGCGGCCGGCCGAGCGCGGCGCCGGGTGCGCGGTCCATGACTGGCGAAAGGCCCCTTCGTGGTTCAACTGGTGCAAGTAACGGAGTCCTTTCCACGTTTTCACCGGCAAGTGTTGATGGTGTTGATTTTTCTTTTCGCCAACCTGGAAACACTCACTCCAACAAGACTGAGAATCGGTGATTTGGAACTGGATCAGGTTACTGGGCATGCTCGACATGGGGTGAGTTTCATACTTGGTCTGAAAACCTTGTGACCACTCACTGTGTGACACTCGTGACCACTGGCCGGCACTGGCCGGCACTGGCCGCAGCCTATTCAGCTTCGCCTATCCAGCTTGGGAGCCCCGCCGCCGCCCCCCCCACCATAGTCGTCACAACATCGGCCAGAACACCGACGAGTCGAGGTCCTCGGTGCCTCGAGAGGCGCCCAACCAATTGGTTCGGGGACATAGCAACATCATCGAGCCAACATCATTGGCAACCGACTAGTCGCCCATCCTTCCAACCCACTGATCCCAAGTCAACCTCCGTGAAACGGAGGCTGTGGCCACGGAGGCTGCATCAGGGCGATGAAGTTCCAAAAGGAGGGGACGGGAGAACTCCCTAGCTATGCCGAAGCTTCTTGCTCCTATAGTAGCAAGAATGCTACTAGTAGTATAGTACTAGTATAGTAATGCCCGTTGTTACTAGTAGCGAACCTTGTTCCTAGTAGTAAGGCCAGGAGCTACTAGAGACCGACGGAACGCGAACCACGCCGAACCGGTCGGCACGTCCGCGTTTGAGGCGACCGAAGGCACCCGCGTTGGTCTCTCCACCCCTTTCGAAGAAACGACACGACGTCCGGTCCGGTGCGGCCGCATAAGATCGACACCAAGCAGAACACGAGCGTGGTTACGTGGAGAAGTGGAGTTCACCACCTGTTTGTGAGGCAAAAGTCCATCCAAGAGGGCCCCATGCCTCATCCCCACGCTCCGGACTCCTCATCTTCTGCAGTTGAATTTCGCCGATTCTCATCTTCTCCTCCAAATCCATGTTCGGCGAAGAGGGTGGCCCTCTTCGCCCAACACCGCCATAGGCAGGGCAAGACATATCAAGAGACATCTCAGTAGGTGAAAAGAGGCGTTCCCTCAGTTGTCAAACAAACCAATTGAACCAATTGATGTCTCTTTGTCGCCCCACCCAAGCATTCTGCCCAAACTGCAAATTTTGTTCATTGCGAAGGGAATTTCGACGTCCTTTCCAACAAATTATGAAACATGTCTTGGCAAAGGGTATCCCTTGTCAAGGTCAAGAGCATGCAAGTATAGACCACGGTCAATATTCATTTTCCATGGAACTGCTTCTTCTTTTCTTTACAATTTCATGACTTGGCAGCCAAACAGAAGCAGTTTGAACAGACTGCAGACTCTGTAAATAGAATCAAACGTGACAGAGGACGAAACACAAGGGGGAGGTAGGTGGCAAAGGGCAAACAAAAACTTAAGGAGGGGACCGACGGGCAGTGGCTTCAACACAAAAGAGGAAAGCAAGCACATCATATTCTAGGCATGCATATGCACACTTGTATTCTAACAGCTACTGGTAGCGTGCAGCAAGTCTCAGTTTAAGTGGCACAATTTATGGATTCTACCTTCCTTCACTCCAGGCGCTCCACTGCACCAACTCTTTTTTTTGAACAGCGATGGCCTCCACCCTACTCAAAGTAGCAATGACCTCCAACCTAATAGCTTCTTGCTCCTATTAGTGTTCTTGTTCCTAGTAGTAAGAATACTCCTAGTAGCGATGCCCTTTGCTCCTAGTAGCGTTACGGTGACATGGTGGATGCACTTTGCTCCAAAGCTCTGAAGCACTGCAGTGTTCCGTCTCGCGGACGAAAACGCAAACGCACTTTCCACCGAGGCCGCGCGCCTATATATTTGGCAACCTCCACCTCCGTTTTCGGCGCCACTCCACACTTTAACCACGTTCATCCTCGTTTTCGGCGACAGTTACACACTTTGGGGCGCCCGTGATGCTTGATGTTACATTGTTGTATCTAGTCACAGTCTTCTGTACACCGTGTGGTGTGCAATGCGGTTTTGCGCGGCCTCAGTGGAAAGTGCATTTGCGTGAGCCCGTGCCACTGGAGGAAGGAACACATGCTGGTGTAGATTCGCTGTGTTGCTGGGGAGCTGGATGGATTGGCGCGCAAACGATTCTTGGTGTCACATTGATGTATCTACTCTGTGGTACACCGTGTGGCCAAAACAGATCCACTGATTTCCTCTGATTGCCAGGTTTACCCATTCACTGCATATCATAGGAAGTCTGACAATCAAAGGATATACCATGAGGGTTTTTCACCCTTTCGCTCCCTTTCGTCCTCGACCTCTTCAATGGATCGGCCCAGCACGGACACCTGCGGACGGATCCGCTACCGGGCCGCTACGGGTGCGGTCCGTAGAAAGCACGGAAAGCACGGCATGGAGGGACCGGTTGGGTTAAACTTGGAGGTTGGGTGAAATGGTTCAACATGGTTCAAACCGTTCAGGAGAGAGAGAGAGAGTTGCCTTTGCTGTCTTCTTCTTCGTTGAAGACGGATTGCAGTTCATGGAGGTGGGTATTGGTCTGTTTGAAAGGAATCACCTGCGGAAGATCAGATCCACCCAACTTGGTATCTTCAACAAAAGGAAATTGGGGACAGTGGATGATGCAATGGAGATGCAACCACTTCCCGCCACAAAGACCAGGAACAGTAGATTTCTGAACAGGAGAACATTCGGAATACCAAGCTGAGTGTTCCTGACCAAAGGGCTTCTAGGGAACACCCAACTTTGTAACACGAAACCTGCAAGTTTTCAAAAAACACATGGGTGGTGTGTGGGTATGTGTCTAAAACCAGGAGCTGATTTCTACTGCACGTCCTTTCAGCATCGTTTTTTGGAGCCAGTGCACTGGAACA